GCTGACACCACACCCCACAGCTGAAGCTCGCAAGTGGTGTCCTGAACACTGAGTCAAACTCATGCAGAAGAACCTCCATATGGGAGACAGGGACAGAGACATCCCCACAGTGAAAGGGACTGGATTCGCTACCCACACCTCTAGAATCAAATTCAAATCCTGCATCCACCACTATGTGACCCTGACCATGTCACTGAATAACAGCTAATATTTACTTATCATTTCACTATGTACAACATTAACTCATTCAGGTTTAACAATGTTATAAGGCAGGGACTATTCTCATTGCCTATTACAGACAAACCAAGGTGCAGAGAGGTGAGTACCTTGTCCCAGGTCACACAGACAGTAAGGGGTGGAGTACTGACTGAAACTCCAGGCAGCCTGCCTAAAGTCCACATGCTTAGCCACTGTGCTCTCCCTGGGGTCCAGGGTCGTCATCTGTAAACATAAAAAGCCACCATAAATGCATCAAGAACAATATGTGGACTGATCACAACAGCTAGAGAGAACAGAGAAAGAAAAAGATGAGAAAAAGCCAGTGTGGCAACACATTAATGGTAAGTCTAGGTGGTGGGAAAACAAACATTCACTGTAAAAACTCTTTCAATTCTTCTGTAAGTTTGAAAATGTTAATAATGAAATGGGGAAAAGGAGCATCAGGGATCCATGTTGATGTATAGTGCTGAATGATTAAAATAGATTCATCATCATGCAAAAAACAAATATACAATTATGGGAATTTAAATGAGACACTAAGGGGGCGCCTGGGTGGTTCAGTTGGCTGAGCATCTGACTTCGGCTCAGGTCATGATCTCACGGTCTGTGAGTTCGAGCCCCGCTTCGGGCTCTGTGCTGACAGCTCAGAGCCTGGAGCCTGCTTCAGATTCTGTGTCTCCCTCTCTCTCTGCCCCTCCCCCACTCATGTTTCTCTCTCTCTCTCTCTCTCTCTCTCTCTCTCTCTCTCTCTGTCTCAAAAATAAGTAAACATTAAAAAATAAAAAAAAGAAATAAATGAGACACTTAGGGGGTGCCTGAGTGGCTCAGAGGTGACACGTCCGACTCTTGATTTCAGCTCAGGTCATGATTCCAGAGCTGTGGGATTGAGCCCTGCGTCAAGCTCTGCCTTGGGCATGGAGCCTGCTTAAGATTCTATCTCTCTCTCCCTCTGCCCCTCTCCCTCAGCTCACACTTGCACTCTCTCTAAAATAAAATAAAATAAAATAAAATAAAATAAAATAAAAGTGAGGCACTTAGGACAAACCAGTCTATGTAGTATTTTGCACCAAATGGGTATTTATTAAGTGTATACAAAGCACTTAGCACTGTGTTGCTGAAGATAGGTGCTTAATAAATGATAATTCTTTGATCCTTGTGAAGCTCAAAATCACCAACTCGCATGGAATTATAAAATCCCTCATCATCAACATACATTTACTTATTTTGTTTGTTTGGTTTTTTTAAACATGCATTTATTAAGCTCCTAGCATAGAACCAACGTACTGAGGGACCATGGAATACTCAGAAGTAAAGACGAGGCTCCCCCATCAAAGAGCACTGACTGAAGACATAGAACAGCCTATTTGGAAAGTAGGACTTTTCTGGATTAGATCTCTGGTCCATTTTTTCTTTTTCACAAGGGTCAATTTGGGGGGGGGGGGACAAAAAAAAGAATGTTCTGGGGATACACTTTAAACTAAAAGATGATGGAAATGTTGTATACCATGGGGAAAATGTACATAAGTAACAATGTATACAGTTTTATTTTACAAGACAGAAAACTGCTAATAAGATTATTGTGGCTCCTAAAACCTTATTATCTGGGTATATAAATCTCAGTGGAAGTTACCACATAGAAGAAACTTTACAATCATCCATTAGACCCTGAGCTGCTACTCTGGTTTAGGGTTCTCTAAGGGCCTTCTGAATTCTATTATATACTCTACATGTTTCTTGAAGGGAGGTACTTTTAGCGGAAAAAGGACTTGGATTTAAATAACAGTGAATCACACCATGAGAGAGACAGAGTTATTCCCTTTTCAGTCCTTCTGAATCCTTCTGACTATGCCAAGGAGAAAGTCTCTGTGTGGTGCCAGGATGTCTTTAACACCTCTCCCTGTTTAACAAAGGGACCAGGCTTCCAGCTCCAGCCTTGGCAAGTAACAACCTCAAGCTACAATTTACCCGTTAATTTCCTTTCCTTAGTATCTTATTTGTACAATTGCCTTCTATTTATGGCAGCCAATAGTGTTTTTCCATTTCCCAACCGTGACATAAAATTTCCTTTCTAAATATTTTAAAGTAAAAAAGACTGATTGAAAGAAAAACAGTAAGTGATAGCATAGGTGGTGTAACAGAAATAGTAGAAGTGGCACAGGAAAGGCAAACAGTTGAGAAACACAGACCTGCTCCAATCTTACCATTTTACAGATGAGCAAACTGTGGCCTAGCCTTCTCCAAGACCCCACAGCAAGTCAGTGACCGAGCAGGCTTTGAACTCACATCTCCCAACGGACTGCCCTGTACCCTTTCAGGGCTGTTGATATTTATTTTGGCTTCTCCCCCTGATCCTCACACTGAAGCAAGGTGTGGGGCAAGACAAGGAGCGGAAGGAGGAGGAACTGCCTCCCCACCTTCTCACCCTTCCTGTCCTGCTCAACCTGAAGCACACCCCTGGGCACGCTTCTCAGATAGCAACACTCCAGCCACTCAATTCTCAAAGCCCCTGTTCAGGCAAAGATGCACTAGGACCCCACCCCCATGGCAGTCCCCCGTGCCTCTCGACTTGAGGTGTCTGAAACATCCCTTGCCCAGACCTGTTCCAGCTCAAAGCGAGGATTTTTCTCCCCCTTGCTTCTATATGTTTCATGAAGGAAAACAGAAGAAAGCTTTGCTCACTGATTGATGTCCAAGAGGATGTGGTTCCTGCATGGGAGATTTATCCTGGTCAGTTTGGCCTTCAGTGAAATAGCATCAGAAGATAAGGTAGCACTGACATTTTCTTGGGTATTTTTCCCTTATTGTCGTGTTAACTTGGGTGAAGGGACCTTTTTTGGTTTCTGGACAAAGTACAGATCAAGGCAACAGGGACTCTGCATATGGCCAAGCAAACTGTGCACTGGGCAACCCTGGGGGAGTAGGATGTGAATGTGGCCCTGGAGCTGTGCAGTGCACAGCCTGCACAATCAGATCTGGCATCCCTTAGTTGTAATTCACTAAGAATGCCCGAACCAGGTGTCAGGACATCTGAGTCCTAGCACTGATTTTTCCACTAAATTGCTGAGCTATCTTATCTTAGGTAAATCCCTTTCCCTCTCTGTGCCTCAGTTTCTTCCTCTGTTAACAGGACCAAATGTTGTCTGAAGTTCCCTCCCAGCTGTAAAATTCAGTGATTCTACAGAAGCAGATTTCGATTTCTGAAGGGATGTCATACAAAAGAGGAAATGAACTCACTTGCCTAGCCTGAGAGGGGAGAGCCAGCATGAGTGGGGTAGGGATATTAGGAGACAGCTTTTGCCTCAGTCAGAAAGGAAAATTTAATCAGGATACCTAGCAACAGATGAGGCAACCCTGGGTGGTGAGTTTCCTGTGGCTTGAGGAATTCAAGTACAGACTGGGTCAGAGCAAGGCCTGCTAGAGTGGGAGCCTTGACCATCTGCCCTTTGAGGTCCTTTCTAGCAGGGAGATTTTGGTTTCAGAGCTTGGTTCTATTTTCATTAACGCTAGGAGGCACTCAGCTAGGTCTGGATCTTCTCAAACCCTGCTGATAACTATTAATGCAATGAACTGGTCGGCTGTGTAGCTCTCACCCTCTTAGAGTTTGCACACGTCCACACTCTCCAAATTAAACTCAGTCCCTCCAGCAGTGTTAGTGTTTACCCTTACCCCAGCAAACAAACCTTTTCATTCTGGAAAGAACTAATTAACAGCCTCACCCAGACTTGGGGGAGAGAGAAGATGGAGCCAGGGTGGGGGAACCATGTAAAAAACTCAGGAGAATAAACCATACAAACACTGCTAGCATCTACACTCCAGCGACAGCTCAGGCTAATTGCAAATCATCTTATCTATTCATTACTGCAGGCGCCCTGGGAACTCCTAGCAGCAGCAGCAGCAGCTGTGTGGGACTGGGTGAAGTCACTGCACACAAGGGGTCAGAATCAGGATGTCCTTTAAAATCACCGCCATTTTCGCTTTTATTAATTCCGATCAGGCACTCCCAAAGAGAGTAAATGGTTGAAGCTGAATTGCATTGCCTTTAAGTTGCGTCCACAAGGTACACGGAACAGCAAGATTTGGCAGTTATCCACGTGGGATGTTCAATAAGGGCATTCAGTCAGTCTTGGAAAGGTGGGGTCAGAAAATCCCCACTGTTGTCAATAATTTCAGTGTTTCACTTTTACTTCCAAGGTGAATGAGTCCAAAAAAAAAAAAAAAAATCAGCTTGGATATACCTCTTAAAAGGCTTCTATTCAGAAATTTAGCTCAGGGCGCCCTTAGCTCTTTAAACAATTTAAATAGATTGTCTTTTCTAGTTCCCTTGAATAGAGTGTATATTTACACAGTAAAAGGGTATCAATCTCAATTCAGGGTATTTTCCTGATGGTGAAAGATATTTAGTTTGGCAAGATTCCAGAACCTTCTCTCTTGGTGACTTTCCTGGAGGGGACCAGCAAACCCATCATTCCCATCTACATGAGAAATGTCTCTCAAATAATGGAAACACAAATGCTGACATTTACACTGTATTTGGCATTTTAGACAATACTTTCACACAGATGATCAACTCTGAGCCTCTCAAACACTCTGCCGCAAGGTAGCATGAACCCCATTTCGCAGCCAGTTAACTGAGGCTCAGAGAGGTAAAGCCACTCACCCCAATTCACACGGCTAGAAATAAATAGAGCCTGAGGCTAAAAAGCAAGTCCATCCCGTCCCCTAAACCTAAGCGCCTGCCTCCTGGCTCACCCAACAACAAAGAAAATGTAACTTCACAGTACCTTTCTGCATCTTGGTCTGCACTCTGCTGTTTGCTCTCAAAGGCGTTGAAGCTGCTCATGTCCACGTAGCCGTCGTTTTCATTTGCTGTGGACAGGGCTCTGCTCTGATCTTCAAACAGCTTCGTAAATGTCCCAGCCCTCGCAGGCCTCCGGGGCGGAATCTGGATATTTTCATAGTCCGAGTTCATGGCTGGAATGTTCTCATAGTCTGAAGTGTCGGCGTTAGGGAACGAGATGGACCGCGGCTTGGTCAGGGGCAAGGGCAGAAAGGGGGGCCGAGAGCGGTCTTCGAAGGACTCCACTCTCGACACGGTCCTGCTGAAGGGGACACCTTTCCTCTTGCCATCCCTGTAGAAGATGAGGGAGGAGGGCGATTCGGAAGCCCGGAGCTTGCCAGTCCGAGCCTTAAGCTGCGGGGAGTTGCTGAGGCTCCTGCGGTCGATTTCCAGAAGTCTGGCAGGCCCATGGTAGCTGGATTCTGAAGAGGACCTGGAAGACGACACATTGACATCCACATGCACTTTGTTCTCGGACTTCTTTTTAAACGTAAGCGCCAGGAACCGCTTGAAGGATGACTTCTTCTTCTTGGTATACTTGTCTGGGGGCTCACTCTCGATCAGCAGGGAGGGAGAGCTCTTTGTGATGGGCTTTTTGGTGATGCAGGCCAGGTCGAAAGGGGGCGGGATGTCAACCACAGAAGAGGGTGTTGAGGTGCCACTGGATGGGAGATGGTTCCTCTGGGAGAAGCTCCCAGAGGAGCCGATCACACAGGGCAGAGAAAGGTTGTCATCTTTCCTTTTGATCCTCTGGTCGTCCAAGCCAGATGCCTCCGACTCCCGGTACAAGGAGACCGGAATCTCTCGGCCTTCCACGGAGAACGATCGGGGGTACAAAGTGAAGGCTCTGGGCTTTGCTGGCAAGGCCCTGCTGGCTTCCAGCGGTTTCCCCTCCAATGACAGAACTGTCTTTCTCGCCTCCTTGGTGGCACCTCTAATGCCAATGGCTGATGAGCCAGCTTCTGGTCCGGTTTCTTCTGGGACGGTTTCTGGGACATAGCCGGCCACCTTCCCAGAGTGGGGCCTGGCCCTCGTGATGATGTTCTTCCTGTCGAGGGGGACCAGGCCTCCCTCAGCATCAGAGTTCATTTCTTCTTTCATGCCATAACCACTCAGCGTGTCACATGCAGCCTGTGTCTCCGGCTTCTCTCCTTCCCCAGGGTCAGCCTCATGCTCCAGGTCAACTCCCATCTCATAGGGGTTGGTGAGTGCATCGTCCCCGGCGTCCTCATCCTCTGGCATAACCACTACCTCAGGGACAGAGGGGCCCTCCCCAGAGACACAGGAAGCTCCAACAACGGGGCCCTGCTCTGCACATTCTCCTGACTGTGGTTCCTGCTTGGACTCTAAGCCTTTTGCTGACTTGGAAAAAGAAGAGCAGCTCTCGCTACAGAAAGAGGTGCTCTCGGTCGGAAAGAACTCGTAGGGACTTCCCGAGAGTGACGTCACAAAGTCATCCACACTGTCACTCTCGAAAGGAATGATCTGGCAGCTCTCCTCAGCAGGTTCGTCCTGCACCAGGTCTCTGCCTTCTCGGGGGTCTTCTCCCACCTCCTGGGTGACGGCTGCCATTTCTTCTTGGCCAGTTTTCTCATTTTGGTCCTGTGGTTCATCCTGGTCATCATGGTCATCTTCACACTCACACTCCTCAGAGATTTCAGGGCTATCAGTGGTTGTCTCCGCCTCCTGGACACCCACAGCCAAGTCCTCATTCTCTGTGGGTTCCTTGCTGGCATCGTCAGCATCCCCGTCAGAGGGCCTGTCGGAATCCACACATTCTTCTGGAGCCCCAGGTTCTGTGTTGGTGGAGCCTTCCCCACCACCCTCCTCTGCCTCCCTGGGTGTCCCAGGGGGCCCAGGCTCCTCGCTGGGAGTTTCCGGACCCTCTAAATCAACGTGAGTGAGAATGACGTCATCGCTTGGGAGGACTGCCTCTCCATCCCAAGGTCCCCTGTCCTCCAGGTTGTATATGTTGTGCTCTTCCACTCGCTTCTCTTCCTCCTCACTTGTCAATGTCTGCTCCTCTGCCCCAGGGTCACAGGCACCATCCTCTGCCTCCACGTTCTCAGGAGTGGGGGCCCCACCTCCGTCAGCCTCTCTACTCAGCACCACTTCAGCTGGAGCAGCTCCCAGCCCCTCTGGGTCACTCTCCTCGCCTTCCTCCCTGCACTCCTCTTCCCCCGTGGCATCTGGAGGCGCCATGGCAGCACTCTCTGCAGAGCAGCTGCTGTCCCTGGGTTCGTCCTCTTTCGGCGGAGCCCTGGGGACCACAATGTAATCCTCGTCAGCCTCAGACTCCGAGCACTCCAAGTTGGACTGGCGCTCTTCGTAAGGTCCCCTGTCAACACAGAGCACCTTCCCGTTGCTGCATTTGTTCAAGCTGTTGATCACGTACACGCTGGCTCTCCACTCACTGGGGGTCGCCAGCCTGGGCTTAGGGGCAATGGGGGGTTTCGGCCCCCTAGACATGGAGTTGGGACTGGGAAGGCTATCGGGCCGGGGTGATGAAGGGAATTTGGGTGCTGTCACTGGTGTGAGGGGACTGGCAGTCTTTGGCTTGGGAGCAACTGGTGGTTTTGGTGAATCTAAAGGATAAAAATGGAGAAAAGAAGGAGAAAAAGTACAGTTAACCCTTATTTCCATTCAGAGTCTCCAACTTACCATTTTGAAGAGAACACTGAAGATAGTTTCCCAACCTATGTGAACCCAATCTGCTATATTCTGTGTTAGGTTTATGCCCTCCACCATCATCTTTAAGACCCCTTGACCTCCACTGATAATTCATTCTGTAAACAAAGTAAATAGATCTTTCTTCTATATATAGTCCAGCTACTCAATGAACTCAATGAAATACTCCTCAAATACAGGTATCCAGATCATTGTAATCATTCATCCAACAACTACGTATTACAAGTTTTCTAGGGGCGTCTGGGTGGCTCAGTCATTTGAGCATCCAACTTCAGCTCAGGTCAGGATCTCAGAGTTTGTGACTGTGAGCCCTGCATTGGGCTCTCTGCTGTCAGCACGGAGCCCACTTTGGATCCTCTGTCCCTGTCTCTGCCCCTCCCTTACTCGCACTCTCTCTCTCTCTCTCTCTCAAAAATAAACAAACATTAAAAAAAATTCTTTCTAGGTGCCAGGCACTCATGAGACAATGCTGAACTTGACGGTCATCATCTCTGCCACCCACATGGAGCCTACATTCACCCTACACTTAATTCATTGGATACCTACTATCTATACGCATAGCACCATACATAGGAAGGTCTTCTAGAATCAAGACGAAAAGAATACCTCTGCTGAGTATTTGCCATTGAGTCAGGGAGACAAAACGAACAGAACAACTGGAGGACAGAGCTGCAGACCTTGGAATATTATGACTGAATAGCCATTATCTCATTCCTTCAAGAATGATACACCAAAGGTCTGTGACAGTGATGCATGATTCCTCCTCTAAGGGTCACCTCTGAATTCTACATGCTTCAAGACTGGTGTCTAGCTAACTGCCCTGTGTCTAAATTTCATGGGCATCCAAACTTCATGGGAGAAGCTACATGATATTTTCCAACATGTATATCTGCAAAAACTCTCTTCCCTTGTGGATTTGGGGGATCTATCTGACCATGTCAGAATAAAGGATGTGGGTACAAACTGTACATCCAACAGGAGTCAGAGAAGCAAGAGTTACCATGATGAAGGAAGACCCTCCTGCGGTAGGTGAAATTTAAGTTGTATTTTGCAGAATGAGAGAGGCCTGGACAAATGCAAAGGTCAAGGGTGTAGCTGCCCACTTCCAAGTTCATCCACCCTGCCACAAGACTGCTTCAATGCCTCCAAGCCCCTGGCCGCACTGTGGGCAGAGTGAGGAATGAAGATTTCCAGGAAGGCAACTCCATCCTGACATCTCAGCTTCAAACACACTGCCTGGCTCCCCACTGCCCATAGATGAAGACACACAAGTCTCCCCTCAAGCCTCGCCCCGCCGCCCAGTGCCATCCCCACTAAGGCCTGGGTTTGATGCAGAGCAACTTCAGAATGCCAGCCTGGCTCATGACAGAAGGGAGATGAAGCAGAGCTCCTAAAGGTCTGTCAGCAAACTCTTCTCCCCATGCATTTGACTTCCAGTTAAACCCTTGCAGCACCGTTACCCTGTCATCTGTAGTCCAGGGGTAGCTGGCAGAGATGCAACATGAGCCACGTTTATCATCACATATGTAATTTTTATTTTTCTCACAGCCACATTAAAAAGTAAAAACGAGGGGGCACCTGGGTGGCTCAGTTAAGCATCCAACTCTTTTTTTTTTAATTTTATTTTATTTTATTTTTTTGAGAAAGAGATAGAAAGCAAGCAGGAAAGGGGAAGAAGGAGGGGGGGAGAGAGAGAGAGGGAGAGAGAGAGAG